AAGTGTCACGATGAATATGCAAAAATTCATAATTATAAACTGAAATATCCACAGTAGACAAGAAATTATCGCATTTCCATCAAAACCAGTATATTTCTCAGAACGAGGATTGCAGATTTACTTAAATACTTTTGCTTCCGAATGGAAGCTTTGTAATCGTTCAAAATTAACTTTCCAAATTTTTGTATTAGGGTAACTAAATATGGTCTAAAAAGTATAAATAGGCGATTTTTAGATGGTGTCTGTATGTATGTATGTGTGTATGCATGCATGTATGTGTTTTTTTTTTTTTCTATAGAGGTTTGGGAAAATCTTCAAAAGATTCTGGTAAAGTGATGTTAAACACCAGATCTGGGATTTTTACCCAGTAAAAAACCTGTTTTCCTCTTTTTACCTCTAATCGTCTGTTCCCATTTCCCTCACGGCACCACCGTGAAGTATTACTTCGCGAGGGGTGTTCTCAGCTGTTTGCTCTTCCATTATTTCCATCCAATGTACGTTCCCCTAACCTACTAAGATGTTGTGTGTGATTAGGAGGTTCCAAATAAATTTCTCGCCTATACTGCAACCTCGCGCTTGCGTTCTTCATTTCTGAGATCCTTTATGACTTCCGCCGCGAAGTTGCTCGTTGCGTCCCAGGCTGTTTCTGATGACAGCATTACTTCTACTACATTTTCGGGCGAGACTTTCCTTTCAAGTTCATTCTGCCAAGTATCTCGGATGTCATTGAAACGGGGGCATGTGAAGAATACGTGCTCCGCGTTCTCGTCCACTTCTGCGCAGGTGGGACACGTCGGGGAATCTTCATGTTTGAATTTATGAGGATATGCCCGGAAGTACCAGTGTCCTGAAAGCATTTGAGAAAGATAATAGTTTATCTCTCCATGATCTCGACTTACCCAGACAGCCACATGCGGGATCAGACGATGGGTCCATCTTCCCTTGGTCGAATCTGTCCACTTCTGCTGCCATCGGCTCAAGCTCTTTCGTCTCTCTTGGATTTCCAGTTCTTCGGGACTCAGCGCTTCTGATCTCTTCCGCTGGTATAGAGATCTTCGCTCCTCAGCTAATAGTTCTATCAGTAACATTCCTGAGATGACGCACACTGCATCCTCAGATACCGTCCGATACGCACTCGCAATTCTGAGAGCACTCAGCCGATAGACAGCTGCAATTTTACGGCGAGCTTCTTGCAGCTGGAGTACGTCAGCCCAAATGGAAATACCATATGTAACCATTGATGTAACCACTGACGACAGCAGCGCTCGTCTCCGTTGTTTAGGACCTCCAATGTTGGGCATGAGGCGTGCTAGGGTGGATCTGACCCCAGATGCCTTGGTACCCACGTGCTCCGCTTGCTGCTTGAAGTTGAGTCGGGCATCGATGATCATCCCCAGGTATCGGATGAATGGCTAGCAGGTAATTTCACAAGACCCGACCTGCAGCGTGATAGTCTCAATTATCTTCCTGCTAGTGATCAGCACGGCTTCCGTCTTATGCTCCGCCAGGTTTAAGCCTGCTGAGTCCATCCAGCGTCGAATCGTCTCGAAGGTCTTGTCGAAGGTAAAATTGATCTCCTCAAGATATTTTCCGACGATGACTACGGCCACGTCATCTGCAAATTTAAAGAGTTTAGTCTCTCGCGGCAGTTCCAGCTTCAGTAGCCCGTCGTACATGATGTTCCACAGTAGGGGACCTAGTACTGAGCCCTGCGGCACCCCTCCCGTAACTCTATACTGCTCGGGACCATTCTCCGTGTTATACTTAAGGATCCTCCCGGAAAAATAGCTGTCGACCATCTTTCGTAAGTACCCTGGTAAGTTGAATTTCACAAGAGCATCCATAATACAGTCCCATCTGGCTGAGTTAAAGGCATTCTTGATGTCCAGCGTTGCTACTAAACAGTACTTCTTCTTCCCATTTAGCCATCTTTTCCCTGAGATCGCGTCCCTGGCAGTATCGACGACAAGGTTGATGGCTTCTAACGTAGATCGACCTTTCCTGAAATCAATATGATTTCCAGCTAGTAGCGGTTCGACTTCTGCTTCTATTCGTTGATGGACTATACGCTCGAGAATCTTGCCAGCGGTATCGAGCATGCAGAGGGGACGATACGATGAGGGTTCGTCCGGTGGTTTCTTCCCTTGTGGAAGCAATACTGACCTCTGCTGCTTCCACGTGCTAGGGAAGATGCCTTCCCTGAGGCACTCGTTGTAGACGTCCAGGAATAGTTCCAGCATCGCGTGGACAGCTAATTTCATCGCAACATTGGGGATTCCATTTAAGACAGGGGCCTTGGTGTTTCCCACTCTATTGCACGCTTCCATCAATTCATCTCTGGTGATTTGTGGAACCATCAGCACTTCCCCTTGTTGGCTAGTACGATGGAGTTCTGATTGTTGCGGGAACAACACCGTTACAATTCTCTTCATCAGCACTAGACACGTTGGCGACGGCATTGGTTGACTCTTGAGTCGTGTCATCACCACTTTATAAGATCTACCCCACGGATCGCGTTCCACCTCATCAAGAAGCTCACTCCAAGATTGCTTTTTACTGAACTTGATAGCTTTGCTGAGTTCCCGACGTGCCGTCTTGTATCTAATGTGCAGCTCCTCAAAGTTCGGCTTCTTCTGGCGAAGCTGAGACAACCTCCTGGCTGCGTTACACACTTTCCGCAGGATTGCGATGGTTTTGTTCCATCAATACACCAGTGGATGCCGGTTTGTGGTCCGCTTCCTGGTCATGGTGGCATCCCATGCTTCTGCTACTCTTTTCATGATGCTTCGCGCCTTTTCAGTTGCAATGCTGCCACTGATCGGGCGGTCATCTAATGCCGCTGAATAAGAGCCAGGATCAAAAGGACGCACTCTCCAGCCAGTGCTGTTGGTCTTCTTGGCCGCTAAGGCTACTCTCTGGTCAGAACATGTCTCCCAGAGAATCGCACGGTGGTCACTCGCAGAGTAAATATCAGTCACTCTCCATGAGCAGTTCCTCTTGGCAAGCGTGGTGCTCACGAAAGTGAGATCCACAATTTGTATGTATGTATGTATGTATGTACGTTTTTTTGTCTGTTGCGAGAATGCATGTACGGATCCCCACTTGCGGGAGAGAATCAGAGATTTTCTCCAAGAAGTGGGGTATGTCGGGCTCCGATCACAAGAACTAACACCGACTAAACTCCAATCAGACAAATTCACTAACCTTTTGCTCCTTCGCAGTACCACCGCTAAGTATTACTTCGCGAGGGAGGTCTTTGCTATTTGCTCTTCCACGTTGTTTCATCTAATGTACGTCCCCCTGTCCCGCTGAGATGTTGGGTGCGGGGAGGACGTTCTAGTAGATTCCTCGTTCATTTCGCAGCTGCGTTCCTCATTCCTGAGCTCCTTCATGACTTCTGCCGCAAAGTTTTTCGTTACATCCCAGGCTGCCTGCGATGACAGCATTGCTTCTACCATGTTTTCAGAGAAGACTTCCGTTTCAAGGGTAGATTCCCAAATACGCCGGATTTTGCTGAAGTGGGGGCATCTGAAAAATACATGCTCCGCATCTTCCTCGACCTCGGTACAGGCTGGGCATTTCGGGGAATCTTCATGTTTGAATTTATGAACATAGTATATATATATATACCTGTAATAATAAGAATAATAATGATAATAATAATAATGAAATGTTATATTTGTAAAACTGAAAAATCAATTATTTGAAAATAATAATAATTCTTTTCAGTAAAATATAATGATAGGCCCCGAAGCACCCATATCCCGAAAGCATTTGCGTCAGATAATAGTCAATCCTGTGGGAGAAAACCTGTGGGATCAGCCGAGGAGTCCATCTTCCCTTTCACGAGTTGCCCCACTTTTCCTGCCATTTCTGCTGCGCTCAGTGTCCCAGATTTCCTCCGCTTATATAATGACCTTCGTTCTTCGGCCAATATTTCTACGGGGAGCATCCCAGCGATGATGCATACTGCGTCCTGGAATACCGTACGATAAGCGCTCGTAACCCGCAGAGCACTCAGTCGATAGACTGGAGCAATTCCCCGCCGTGATTCCGGCAACTGCAATGCATCAACCCAGATGGCAATGCCGTAATTGAGCACTGACGTAATCACCGACAACAGTAATGCTCGTCTTCTCTGTTTCGGACCTGTTATGTTGGGCATGAGGCACGATAGGTTGGATCTGACTCCAGACGCCTTGATACCGAAGTGCTCAGCATGCTGCTTGAAATTTAGTCGGGCATCGATCATCACCTCCAAGTATCGGATGTACGGCTTGGAGGTGATTTCGCAGTCCCGGACCTGCAGCGTGATTGTCTCAATTTTCCTTCTGCTAGTGATTAGCCCGACTTCTTTCTTATGTTCCGCTAGTTTCAGTCCCACGGCGTTCATCCAGCGGTAGATCGTCTCGAACGGCATGACAAAACTGAGATTGATCTCCTCTAGGTATTTGCCCATAATAACCACATCCACATCATCTGCAAATGCCACGAGCTTAGTTTCCCGCGGCAGTTTCAGCTTCAGTACCCCATCATACATGATGCTCCACAACAAGGGACCCAATACCGAGCCTTAAGGTACACCTTCGGACTGACTCTGTACTCCTCGGGACCGTCGTCCGCGGCATACTTAAAGACTCTTCCAGTGAAATAGCTGCCGATCATTTCCCGCAAGTATTCCGATAGGTTGAACTTTGCGAGAGCCTGCATTATATGGTCCCACCTCGCCGAGTTGAAAGCATTCTTCATGTCCAGTGTCGCTACTAGGCAATACTTCTTCGTGTCATTGAGCCATCTTCTCCCTGAGATCGCGTTCCTGGCGGTGTCGACGACAAGGTTGATAGCATCCAGAGTGCATCGGCCTTTCCGGAACCCTTATTGGTTGTCTGCTAACAGGGGTTCGACTGATGTTTCAATTCGTTGATGGACAATACGCTCGAGGATTTTGCCAGCGGTATCAAGCATACAGAGTGGAAGCTATGATGACGGGTCATCCGGTGCTATTTTCCCTTTCGGGAGTAGTACCAATCTCTCGTACTTTCACATGCCAAGGTGTCCTCCCTTAGGCACTCGTTGTATACGTCCAAAAACTTCGGCATCTCGTGGATAGCTGCCTTCGGAGCGATATCGAGGATTCCACCGAAGCCACGCGCCTTGGTATTACCTACCCTATTGCAGGCTTCCATCAACTCTTCTCTGGTGATTGATGACCACATTATCTCTTCTTCCGGTATGTCAGGATAATGGAGTTCCGGTTGATGCGGGAACAACACTGTGACGATTTTCTTCAGCAACACAGGGCAGGTAGGCGATGGTATTTGTTGACGCTTGAGTCGCGTCATCACCACTTTATATGGTCTACCCCAAAGATCACCTTTCACCTCATCAAGGAGCTCACTCCAAGAAAGCGCCTTACTGCACTTGATATCCTTGCTGAGTTTCCGGTGTGCCGTCTTATATCTCTTCTGCACCTCTTCAAAGTCTGTCTTCTTATGGCCACGCTCAAACAATCTCTTATTAGACTTCTTCTGTAATATGGCGATAGTGTCATTCCACCAATACACCGGAGGATGCTGATTTGTAGTCCGTTTTCTGGTCATGGTGGTATCACATACTTCTGTTACTTGTTTTATAATATTGTGTGACTTCTCAGTAGCATTGCTGCCACTAACTGGGCGTTCGTCTAACGCTGCTGAAAAAGAGGTAGATTGGAAGGTGTTCACTCTCCAGCCAATGCAATTTGCCTTCTCAGGCATTGAGATGACTCTCTGGCGAGTACATGTCTCCCAGACTATCGCACCGTGGTCGTTTGCGGTGTAGATATCAATTACTCTCCATGAGCACTTCCCCTTTGCAAGGCTGCTGCTCATGAAGGTCAGATCCACTATTGAGCTCGCCTCTTCCCTGATGAAGGCCGGTTCATCGCTGCTATTCAGCAAGACTAAGTCCAACGATGACATGGCTTCCAGTACAGCATGCCTCTTGGTGTTCGTCACTTTACTTCCCCAGTCAACTGCCCAGGCATTGAAGTCCCCGGCTATTGCCAAAGGAAAATGCTGCTTCGCATCCTCAGCCAGTCGATCTAGAAAGTGCGTAAATTCTTCGGTGGAGAAACTCGACGGGGCGTAGCAGCTGTAGAAATGAATTCGATCAAACTTAGGCTTCACAAAACCATTTTGTGTACTGTTGCTGGCGGTGCTTTGGAATGGACGTTTACCACAAGCCCAGATTACAGCCTTCGTGCTAGCGTCAGTGACCCAGAATGGAGCATCCAGGTGACGATACGGTTCAGAGATGATGGTGAGATTGAGGTTCAACTCCCGCGCCGTCTACATAAGCAGGTCGTGTGCAGCCTCGCAGTGGTTGAGATTGAGTTGGAGTACCTTCATCGACGGTTGTTGAGGACCCTCTGGAGTGCCTCCTTATATACTGTACACTTGCTACTGCCAGCCATGTGGGCACAATTCTTCGCGTTGCCTTTGTTGGTGCACAAAGCATATCGGGGCTTCTCCTTACGGTCCGAAGTCTTGTGGCCAGTCGCTGAGCATTTGGCGTAGAGTGTGGACGGGTGGGCTGTACTCGTGCACTTCGTGGCGAGATGTCCGTAGTGCCAGTACTTGAAACACTTTATCGGTCCCTCCACTCTCCTGATACGGCAATTGAACCAGCCTCTTTTGATTTTGCCGTGCTCTCCCAGGATCTTTTTCGCCGCAGTTGCTGCGAATGTCACTGAGGCAGTCTGGGTTCCATCACATGCCTTACGCAATGATTAGATAGCCTTGGGAGCTATTTCGTGCTCCTCTCTAGCTACTCTTTGTAGGGCTTCGAGAACTTCCTCCTTCGTTGTTGATTTGTCGAGATCCTTTATTTCTAGTTCCTCTTGTGGTCACTGGGTGAGCACCTGAGCCTCATCTTCAAGGAGATTGACGATGGCTGTACGCGGTTCAGGGGCTCCGTCAGTCGTCTTCTTGGTCAAGATGATCAACATATCCCCGGTCGCTGTCCGGTGGATCTTGTCGACGCAATCCTGAGCTTTCTCCGAAGGACCATCTTTCTTTACTCGGCATAGGATCTCCGAGTGTTTCTCCTTTTCTTTCGGTCGGATAATCAGCGCATCAGGTCTCGGCGCTGGATTCCTGGAAGTCTTCCCCTGCTACTCCTTCATCTTTTTGGGAGGCAGCTGTTCGGCTTTTCGACTCTACTCCTTTGTCCTCTCCTCGCTCTTCACTACCACTCATTCCGGTTTTGCAGGTGGCTTGGGTTGGCCAAACTCATGTAACTCTACAATGAGCTTACCCAACCGGGCCAATGCAAGGGATCACTCTGTCTCCTGTTGAGTCTCCAACTCTACCCCACTTGTAGCATTTGAGGTAAGTGGTCAACCTGAAAGGGATGTGATGATTGGCTCCTCCCACAATTCGTGCAGCCAGCACCAGCCACCGGGGCTTTCACCTGATCGGAATTGTTGGCGGGATTTACCTTCTCAGGAATACCCGCATGGAAAATTTGTACTTTATCATCACTAATCATTATTAACTGTAGGCTGTTATAGGGAGCCTACCCGATACTCTTTATGCGGACTGTTTTAGGGAGCCCACCCTGCACGTCTCTTTTGGTCCACGGGAGCTATTTTATTTCACTTCAGTCTGCTGAGTCAGCAAGCTGACCCACAAGAAAACCGTCCTAAGTATCCCTCACCGATTTTGATGACCTTGAAATGTTATTCCCTATTAAAATCTAAGGTATACATATTTTTTTCTGTGGATAAAGATTTTTAGGGGGTGAAACCAACCTCCGAAGTTGACAGGTTTTCAGGACCATTTCCAAAGAAACATTCTGTCTGTTGAAAAACATTCTGTCTGAAAGATTTTGTCTGTTGAAATAACATTTCTGTCTGTTGAAAGAATCATTATTATTTGACTGTTTCATATTTTGGCATTCAAAATTTTAGAACGAAATCAAATTCATGATAATCTTCAAGGAAAATGATGAAAAATGGCATTTGTCGCATTTGAATAGGGTCAATTCAAAAAAATGATAGGGTTTCAAATGCAAAAAAATGTTGTGAAAAAAAAATAACGCTCGTGTTTTAATAGTATGAATGGCTATTAAACGAGCGAGCAAACGTCAAAAATACGGGTTGTCGCTTTTTTCGAAAAAGTGGTGTAGGGTTTACCACCCTCGAATTTAACTTAATTTATTACCAGTTGAATATTGGATTTCTTCTTGGGCGATCACAATTCTTGAAGTAAGTAATGAATAATGGTGTTGGTTGGGTTCAAAAAGGGGGAGATGGGGGGGATGGGGCAAAGTGGAACTCTGATACAAAGTGGGATAACCGTCTTTTTGAGCCACAATATTGATGCGAACTTTTTTTGGTATCTCAGATCGCTTACTCGCAAAATTATAATAAACGAAAACGTTGTAACTAATTTTCCCTATCATGAACCCTAAGAGTGTTAATGTCTCATTAACGGCTAGATGTGTGGAAAAAATTTAAAGAAAAAATTATGTGACTAATTGGATGAGGAATGTTTTTAATTTGATTTATTTCTGTCTGTCACCATCAAGTTTGTTGATCAATCCATCGGGGTGCACCGACACCTCGCACAAATGCTGGCGCGGTCCGCTTTGCTGTCCCCCTGATAACCCTTGCTCTATCGTAATATACAAAAAACGATACAAGGCCAGATATGTCTATTACTGCATGTCAGCCGTCTTTGGCTTGAAGCATTTCTTCTTATCTGTAATCGTTTATGTGATATGATTGTGTAAATAATGAAATTATATATAAGAATACCAATAACCGTAATATTTGTGTTTTACGACTTTGGATTAGTCTTAATCAACAGAGTTATTTTTGTACATTTCATTTTCGGGATTAAACCGCGGTGGGTGTATGCTGTTTCCAGACGTATTTTTCTCTGCTATCAGGTTTTGATGATAAAAGTATAGTCAGTCTAATAAGAGAAAACATGAGGAAAACACTCTCGTAGCCAGCCAGTGTTTTGTTGTGATTATCATCGTTAGTTCACTTTGACACTTTCGAAACACCAGCTATGGAACTATTGTGTATATCGTGTATATCGTGAAAATTTAAATATAGTTAGAACGAGGACTGAAAAGTATTTTTGAGAGATATTTAGATAATTATTACACACAGAAATGAGAGTCAATCCTATGAAAGTTATTCAATTCCTGCTGACAACATTTCAAGCGATGAATATTCCGGAATCACCTACAAATAATGAAGAAATCCAATTGAAAAATAGCATTGAGGAAGTTTTATCACATGCAATGAATGAGTATTCTGGCGTCGAAGTGACGGTGAAATATTCGTTAAACTTTGAGGAACATTACAAAGACTGGGACATGGAGATAGTCGAAGACAAAGAATAGGCGGATAACCTTCATGAACCGCCGATACATCCTGATACTTGCACTAAAGATGAGAAGAATTTATCTTACGATTACAAATCTAGAGCTGTTGCATATTGGCGTAGTGGTAAGAAGCAAAAAAATTTAAGCTTATAATCTGTCAAGTAGAAATTTCGAAAAGTAACTTCAACACGGCAGTTGAGACGCTGGGCGCATAACATTAATAAGGGGGGAGGCTATAAAGATAAACTTGATCGGATTTGTAAATACACTGCAAAATTTCAAATCCGCTGTCAACGCTGAAATGATCGTACACGATTGTGACCTACGACGATGAGCATTACAAGCCCAAAAAGATATAGGTAGTGAGGATTTTCGCTTTAAAGCATCCGACAAGTGGATACGAGGATTTAAAAAAGCACATCGTATTTTCTCGAGGAACATCAATAAATTTATTACATCGAAAGGAATCGAAGACCGCCAAGTTCTAGAGGAAAAATCGGAACGGATTTCAGTTTGAAATGCATTCAGGCAGAACTTTGGCTGAAGAAGGTGAAAAACAAGTACAATATGTCATGCAATCCCTAACATCGACGACACATTGTTAAACTATTCAATCAACTATATCAGCCGAAGGGGAACTCCTCTCTCTACTCTTTTTAGTTTTAAAAGAACCAAGCGGTTATTTCGGTCCCAGAGTAGAGGAAAAATTGTTTCGCCCGGATAATGTATACGTAGATGTATCCAAATCTGGTAAACTGACTTGAGGTATGAGGCTGTGTTGATTCGTCTAATACTTCGTTTCTTATTTATCCGTAATGATGACGTCGCTCCAACGATAATGTTCATTTGTTCTGTAATTTTTTTCAGAACATTTCAAATCTTGGTTGTAAAATGTTTTTGTCTCTAATGTTGGTGCGAAAAGCCTATTATTGGTAGATTCATGGACCGGGCACTGTTCTCCAATCGTGAAAGCTAACAAAACACGCAATAAGGATGTGGAGGTAATGACTATACCTAAAGGGACAACTGGAATACTCCAACCACTCGATGTTTTTGGATTTAGAGTTTGGAAAAATTTCATAAGACATTTCTCTGATAGTGTTATATTAATAGATTATGATTTGAATTTACATTTAAAGAATAATGTCATCAAGTTGAAATTTCCAACTCATAATCAATTGTCGTCAACAACGATATGTCAATCGCTTCAAATATGCTTGGTACAGAAGCGGATACGTAGAAACCAAACCAGATGAATTTGAAAATTCCGTCCATTTCGCATTCGGTGAATCTTGCAAGTGGCATTGCGAAATACCGGGATTTATAAATATTGCTAGTATCTGTTGTTCTTGATGCAAGAAGTCATTTTGTTTCAAACACTTCTTCGACGACTATCATTATTTCAAAAAATATTGTTACGTATCCCCCTTCGAACCCTTTAAACTATATCCCGTCTGAAGGTTGTCCAGGAACGGAACCAAAAGAACGATCGTCTTGAAGTGAAGTCCGATGCTCGATTATTACCTTGTGATATCTTGGCCAATACATATCTGTCACTTGGCTTGTCTCTGAATTATTAATAAACCGCCTCAACCATTTAATTAATTTGTGCTGGGTATTTAACTTCTTTCCCGACGGAACCATCTATCAAACCCACCATTGGACTGAATTTTTGAGGCTGTAGATTAATCAAATCAAATTAAATGGGGTGAGTCTTTGTTTTAAATTATTATGGCGGGTAGTGGGAGACGAAGAAGCGAGAATCTCGCACAACATCTCGATCCCAATGCCCTTGGTTTACATTAACCCGATGGAGAACTTCAACAAGAAAATCCCGCACCAGTTCAAATTGAAGATTTGGACCGTTTACGGAACGAGTTTCAAGACCACCTACAATATTTCGTCGTTGAAATGAGAGAGACTCTTCGTTAAAATCGAGAAGAAGAACGACGAGCTTCCCGTCAAGAATTTTTTAATTTATTCAGAAATCTTCAAGAGAATCCTGCTCCTCCCAATGCTCCTAAAGTCGCCCAATATGGGCCAGCAGTACCTCCAGTCCTTCCATAAGATTCAGCGGTATCTCCTGTCACTTAACATGGACCAGCAGTACCCCCAGTCCTTCCACAAGATCCAGCGGTACCTCTTGTCGTTCAACATGGACCAGCAATACCCCCAGTCCTTCCACAAAATCCAGCGGCACCTGCTGTCGCTCAACATGTACCAGCAGTACCCCCAGTCCTCCCACAGGATCCAGCGGTACCTCCTATCGTTCAACATGGACCAGCAGTACCCCTAGTCCCCCCACAAGACGGTACATCCTGTCGCCCAATATGGCCCAGCAGCACCTCCAATCTTTCAACAAGGCCCAGCAGTACCTCATGTCAACCAACACAATCCGGCACTACCTCCATTTCTTCCACAAGAAATACCAGTACTGTACCCATCAGGAATTCCTTGGAATCAAGCACCTCCCCGTACTCCATTCGGAAACCTAACATATAACCCTCAAAATAATTTTACTTTCAATTCTCCGAATCAAATCAACCATTCCCTGATCAAACCAGACACTTATGACGGTTCTCAAGTTTGGTCTCAGCATTACATTCA